GAGCGATAGAGATCTATGCTCTGGAAAAGGGTTAATATATGGCTGGAACCTACGATTGCCGAGCCAGTATTAGCTCCAAATTAATAATAATCATAACATGCCGATTGACCCGCACCACCTCTGCCTCCTCCATCAGCGGTATGTACCTGCCCCTCCCTCAATGCTTGTCACGGCCACGGGGACGACAAACCTGTGCGCTCGTCGTTGGCAACGACGAGCGCAAATTCCTACCTATAATATCTCAGTAAACTCCCAAAAATCGACATGATCAAGGATGTTCAGAGTAGGCGATTTAGCGGCGATTTGGGGAACGATTTGGCGACGATTTGGAATTGCAAAATCGTCCTAAATCGGTGTCTTACTGAACACCCCCGAGTCTGCATCGATTCTGATGCCGATTTTCTGGCCTGATTTACCCAAGATCTGACATTGGAATAAGCTATAGCTGCGGGAGAGAGAATACCAGAACCAGAGTTGAAAGTGAAAGACAAACCGAAGTCCAAACCGCTGAAGCGACTCCAGAGCCGATTTAGCAACGATTCCTGTTCCCACGCTTTGACCCCGCCAAAAGTGAAACTCAAACAAAACTCAAATCGTTTCCCAAATCGTTTCCCATATCGTTCCCCAAATCGATGCCAAAATCCGAGTTGCCTACTCTGAACACCCCTAATCATTTCGATTTTGGCGATTCATTTCGAAGTCTGACCTTTGGAAACCACTGGGGCGACTACTGGCGGCAAGCATTTAAAGGCAAGCTCCGATCTGGATCTATTCCCGATCACTGGACCTCACCCCGAATAAAACCCTCACCACCACCATTCGGATCTCAGCGTCGGGGAATCAGGTGTTTAACCCTCTGCGACCCCACATTATTTCGAAGGTCATAACTCCAATGCGATCGGCATCGCCCTTCCCCGGTGCCCGTGATTCTTGTGCTGGTCCAACGTTATTCGGTTCGCCTGTCCGGGCAACAACTGGGCAACATGCATTCGAACTGCAGAAAGTGCGTATACAGAGATACATTCAATAGATTTCCGATTTACTCAGATGTCTTATCTTGTGTTGGCGACGAAATGTGGCCGCATCGTAGTAGCACCTGAAGTTGATTTGCAATTGCACCTCTCCCCTAGTATGAGGCCGTCCAGTGCTAGTCAAATTCTAGGTGATCAGATGATATATGTCTGATAATCGGAAATCTACGATCTTCAGCAATACAATGCGAGCTCTAGGGACGGCTAACATCTATAGAAACCAGTTCGTAGGCTACATTGTTCCCCATTCTCTGAATCCCCCCATCACACTCTACACTCACACGGCCAATATGACTTCCGCCCACATTGCCCCTCATGTCGAGAACCTAGGCAACGCCATCAGCCAGTGGCATGGTCACATCGAGAGCGGACATGAAGCGCCTCACGGCGTGAGTGTTCCTATCGTTCATCCTTTCCAGCTTTGGATAATTAATTAATCAAACAGGGTATCTGCGATGGAATCAACGCCTTTTCCCTCCACTTCCTGCAGATTGCAGCACACGTAAAGGTTGGTTCATTGTTTCCCGCTTAAAAGCTTCGTGACTGGCAGGCTCTTATATGATGTCAACAGAAATCTTTCCCGGAGGCTGAACGTCCTCACTTCTACGTCGATTTGAACAAGGAGGGCGAAAGTGGCCTCAAAGCCTCCCAGAAATTCAATGAGATGATGCCTACTCTTTTGACCCAAGGTGTCAAAGCTAGTGATGTGGTCTTGGCGCTCGAAGGCGAGATGATTGCAATGATTGCCATGTACGACAGCTTGAAGGCTGCAGATCCCGTCAGTTTCCTTCTGCGTCCGATTGCATTCGGTACTGATGATCATCATAGAAATACGAGGAGCACTGCGCATTCCTCGAAAATTACACCATGAAACTCGTGCAAGACATGATTGACACCTACTCAAAGGCTTGATCTAGGGTTGACGAGAATATATATCAATACGCTTGTACAGCAGGATAGCATGTACCATACTTGATTGATAGTCTGCAAAAAATATTGTGTGCATCTGCACTACAATATTAATACCAACTTAGCAACTTCATAATGTCTTTGAAATAGTTCTTGCCTGGTGATTTGACGGATGATTCGATATCTGAGACACGGCCCTAAAGAAAACAAGGAACAGCGCTCAGCGCTAGCAAGACGCGAACAACTTTTTTACAGACCCGTTGCAGACCCACACGTCGGACGAGAGACTGTCTTCCCCGTCCTCCCCACCTCGTCGTCATCTTCAGCAGGCTAGCTGGCGAGCGTGCGCGCGTGCTTCAACACTCGTTAATCAGACAGTTCTGGGTGAATCAGGATGCGAATCCAGGCTAACTATCTGAGTACATACCTGCAACTAAGCTGGCGAAGCAGGCTTTCCCGCCCAATTGGATTGATTCAAGTTTAAGACTTACTTATGCACGGTTTAAAGCACTTCTCGCTCGAAAAGTGGGAGATGCTGGTACTGGTAAGTTAGGAACCACCAGTCACCGTGACGCACCCAATTTGCATTGGCCCATGACTTCGTCGCATCCTATCTCCACCACCACCACCACCACCACCACCACCCTCCCACCCACCGACATTCCTTTATTTTCTCTTCGATGGCTCCATTGGCCAACAATGGAGAAGACGAATCCGTCGCATTCGCTTTTTTCTATGGCTTTATGGCAGTCATGGCGGTAGCATTGGCGTACCTATGTGCCCTCGGAGTATTGTCCGTAGTGAATGGCGACCTGGCTGGGCAGTGAGACATTATACGTCTCATTATACGTGGCATGTTCACTCATAGGAACCCAAAGGATCGCGCATTGGCAATGCATTTCGCCTCTGAGCCCCCAAAGCGTGCCAATGGCAGGAGGGCCGTGGTGTCCAGAGAAGAGGACGACATTGTCGTCCAGGGTATCGCGGAGCAAGCGGCCCTGTACGAGAGGGCGCGGCAGATTCTTGCCAATGATGAGTACAATCCACCGGAGTGCGACGAGCCTTGAGGGGAGTCGTCGCCTCACAACAAACGACGGTGGGGTCCTTGTTGGCAACGCTTCGAAGCCACAGGAGTGGCACCCCGCGCGGAAACGCCAATGCTGACGTGTAGTCTATCTGTGAGTCATTTGAATTAGCGTACTCCGTGAACCGGACTGATGAGATTTCCCATTTGCAGACACAAATGCAAAAACTAAGCAGTCCCGCAGGACATCTCTTCCCTTCAACGCTCTCGCTTGCATTGCATATTCTCCTTTTTCGTGGATTCTTGACCTTGGCTTGCTCGCCTTGTCGCGCTCTCTATTCCTTTCAAATACATATTCAATATACATCCTGAACCCGTCGCTGTCCTCCCGCTCTCGTCTATTTGTTTTGTCTGACATTTATCGCAATCTGTCCTGGATGCTCCTAAATTGATTTGTTATCAGTGACATGCTGCATTAGTTCAGCCCTTGGTGCTTCGGAACACCGTAGGGGAGCTGATTTGAGGAACCATACGCAGCTTATCAGGAATCGGAGAGTCTTTTATACATGACACCAAGCGGAACTTGCCATGATCCCATCTACACGTCGGATTTGCGTCGGATTCCCTTCGCCGTTGCTGATCGCTGATTTGCTGTTGTACCTCAGCCTGCACGGTGAAGCTGCTCGAAAGGAAGGTATCATCTTGGCGGCGCCGCAAAGTCTGCGAAAATGGGAGCACCGGAGCGGAGTTCACGAAGGAGGCGTGCACTGACACCGAGAAGTTTTTCCTCTGGCACGACGACAATCTCGACACGCAGCAATTCTGCGATTCTCGATTCCTTCTATACGATCTACTCTACCTACATCTTGTTTTTCTCCCGCCCACCCCAACCTTTTAGACAGTTACACAGTAGGGCTGTTGGGGTCATTCGACTCTGTTCCCCAACGGCTCTGTGACCTGGAACCCGTGTCGGCGCGCTGTTGCTTTTGCGCCGCCGGTTTTTTCTCCACCCCCAAACACATACTGTAGCTGTCTTCTATTATACATCTTGCACTATCTGAAAACACCTCCGGAACGCAAGACGGTGACGTTCCGCGTTCGGTCCGTGATCCAAATTGGCAGTGAGTCCTGCTCAACATGTTTTGTCTTACCACTCATTAAAAGCAGCCGCAGAGCATGTTCTTCTTCTTGCCACTCTTGCCCATCCAAATTACGCAAATCCTCAAGTCAAGCTCTCCACTCATCCGTGGCAGACTTTCTAAGCGGGCATTCGAGCAAGTGCGACGTATGATGTTACACACGATGGTCGCTCTAAGCGAATCTGCGGACATCAGGCTATCCACGTGGACTCTGCGGAACTCTGCTGTCGTCGAGGAGCTGATCGACCCGGATAAGCAACGATCTCTTGTGTCTGTACCCACTCGAATTTTGATTTTGGCTGACTCTGGCCATCAGCTAGAATGTTTTCGGAACGGTGACGCAGCCGCGTGCAGCAGTTCCTGGCCCTGTGGTCCTGTCTGCTGCGCGCTGTTACTTCGCTTCAACAGTCATTAAGTGACATTGCGAATTTGATGCCGTTCTTTTAATGCCAGGCAACGTTACAAGACACTTGATCACGATCTTGCCACGCCAGCGGCTCCGGCCTTTTGCAGTAGCACCGAGGAGCAAGTTAAACCAAGGATTGACCAAAGATGCCGGCGAAGTCGTTATCCCTCGTCAGCCGAGACTCGATGGCGCAGTGGCAAGCGTTTCAGACTCAATGGAACTGAAGACTCCTGTTCGATTCAGGATCGAGTCGTACCGTTGGTTGAACTTTTGCTGGGCGCGTCCGAACTTTCGAGCTCGAAAAGGCCGACTTCGATCTGAGCGTCCATTCATGCTACTTTCCTATCTGTCCATGCGAAGCACACTCTATTTCACCTTCAATTCGATAATAAACATGCAGGCTCCGGCCCTTCGCAGTAGCACCGAGCAGCAAGTTGAACCAAGGATTGACCAAGGATGCTGGCGAAGTCGCGGTATTCCTCATCAGCCAGGACTCGATGGCGCAGTGGCAAGCGTTTCAGCTTCTACCGGGACTGAAGACTCCTGTTCGATTCAGGATCGAGTCGTACCGTTGGTTGAATTTTTGCTAGGCGCGTCTTGCAATTGGGTGCGTCTGAATTTTTCAGCGCCTGAGTCGTCACGAACTCCACGCCTCACGCTTACTTGCAGGCTTACCCCTTCCCAAAACATGTTTCGCGCCACGCCTGCACCGCCATGAAGACTTTGCCTTCATTCACCGATCATTTCGTGGCACACGCGGCTCTGTGTCAATATGTAACCTTTATCTTTTCTGTGTTGGAATATGAGCGCCACAGCTCGCTGACGCATACTCGGGCTCGTGGCCGACGCGTCCCGACGCGCGTACTGTACGCGTATACCCCTCGATGACTCAGATATGACTCGGATATAGTTAGTGCTACAGTATATAAGGCGACTTGCATATCTGGTAGTATTCGTCGTGATAACTTGCTGAGATCCTAACCCCCCCTGTGTGCACCTCATTTATATTCGAGACTGCACAGGAAATTCGGATACTGAACTGCTCGGAAAGACTCACTCGCAGTATATGATTGATACAGCAGAATAAAACGGTGCCATGCTTCCTTGCATATACGTCTATTTTCCCATGTCTTGAAATTTAAAGTAATTCGCATATCCACAGGTATCCACCACACCCTCCGGAACGTCCCGTCGTCCCCCATACCGAAATCTAGAGTTACAGATCTCCGCCCGGATCACAGCTCCGAATGCCATCATATGCCATCGCAGTCGCCAGCTAGTGGATCACGCCTCTGGGACGGGGAGCTGCGTTTTCGCGTTCAAGAACCATATGCTTGAGCCTCAATGAATTGAACCGCGGCTTGCAATCCGGCCTTGCAGATCCCATGTGCGGAAGAAGAGCGTGACTGATTCTGAGAGCAGCAGCTATGGAGGACATCCTCAGCATTCGAAATAACAAATACATACATTCCATGGTACGTTGTTTATTTGGGCTGCTGAGGTGATACGGAGGTCACTCCAGAAGCGATTAAGCACGTCTGAATCAGAACAGACTGCAATTCGCGTGATTGGTGGAGAATACAAAATATGACAAGAAAGGGACCGTAACATGCTACACGACCGGAAACGAAATGGAGAAGAAAACAATAAAGAGCAAGAGCAAGCAACCCGGACAACACCCAGTTTCGTACACCGCCAGCCAGCCGCCAGCCAGCCAGCCCATGCGTCCCCTAATCCCTACTCCCTAATCCTCGCCGTGCAGGATGCGCTTCCCCGCCTCGACCTTGTCCTTCTTGTGCTCGAGCTTGCCCATGACGATCTTCGCCTCCCCGCGCACCTTGTCGAAGAACCCGACCTTCTTGCGCCCCGACGCGGTGCTGCTCACGCTCGCCGCGCGGGCGTGCTTGACGCTGCTCACGCTCCCGCTCGCCGCGCGCCCGTGCCCGCCCTTCTTCGACAGCGAGCCGAACGGCGACGTGGGCCGCTCGCCGGGTGTGGAGCCGTTGGTGGCGGCGGCCTTGGTGCTCGGCGTCATGGGGTGCAGCACGGCGGGGTGGTACCCGGGGTCGCCGGCCTTGCGCGGCGTGCTCGGGGGCGACGACGGCACCTTCGCAGCGGCCGGCGCAGGCACGGGTACAGGTGCGGGCGCTGGTACAGGTGCTGGTGCTGGTACAGG